GAGAAGTGCTCGTACTTCTCTTGTGCCTGATTTTCCTAACACATTGACTATAATTGTCATAAGAGCTACCTCCATAGAACACATCTTTCCTGCCCTAGTTGCCTGAATGGTGTCTGGCTCTGTTGCCTTTTCCTGCCTTTCCTGTATCTACAGATCTGGGCAGAGAGAAATTTTGTGAGCCTTACCACACGCATAACAACGTACAAACTGTTTACAGGACTTAGCAACATGTCCAGGCAAAAGGCACTTTAAGCAACACCTTCTAAGCCTAATTTTATTCTTTTTTTCATCTAATGACAGAGAGCGTGCTTCAAAACAGTCCTTACTATCATGTAGTTTATCGCAACAAATACAGTTATTATCTTTCGTCGTAAGGAAACCTGCCGCCGTAGGGACATTCGTTAACTGTTTCGATTTAAATTTGCTTTTCGATTCCCTTTTGCGATTTATTACAATACTGTCTTTTTGCCCAAAAATTTCAAATCCACTCCGCGCTAACTTAAGTCTTTCCTCCCCTTCCACTTCGCATCTTAAAAATTTCATCAAATTAGTTAGGCGAGAAATATTCTGACTTTCCTTTACTTCTCCAAAAAGATGGCTTCTTTGCCAGGCTCTGAGGACTTCCTCTGAGAGGCATGATTCTACCATGGGATATAACCAACAAGCATTGTTTTCCGTTTTAATATCTAAGGATTCAAGAGCTCTTAGTTGTGCTTCAATCTTATCAAATAATTGCAGCAATGGTAATTTTTTACTACTGCCTGTCTTAACATTCGTTACAATCAACTTTACAAGCTCTCTCACGTATACCTCAATTAATAAATTATGATTCCCAAAATGTTCCTTAAGAGCACTAATAGCTTTTGAATAATTTTTCGCAGACATTGGGTAACTGTCAATAAAATCTAGCGCACGCACCTTGTTTCATGCTTTGCACAAGATACTGAAATTTGTCACTTTCGTGCAAATCAGGGTCCTCGTGTATTTTTTCGAACTGAGACCAAAACGGCAGCCAGTTCAATAATTCTCCATCGAACTTCTTAAGCTCTATTTTCGGGAGCTTTAATGATCTAGTATTACAAGGTAAATTACTAGAAACACTACCTTGTGACCTAGTTTCTAAATTTATCTGTTCTAAGACACCTAACTTCTCACTAACTAAGCGAGAAATGGTAATAAATTCATCCTTGTAAATATCCCAGCTTTCCATTTCATCGTTAACTTTTTCAGGCGTTACATCAGTCGAAATTATAGAATTCAAAATCTGCTCATTAATTTCCTCGATATCTTTTTGTAACATTTGCAACTTTGTAAATTTATCTTTAATTATACCTGCTGAAAAATCATCCTTACCAATTTCGCTTTTCAAAACATTAACAGTCTTGGTAAAGAAAGAACGCAATCCTCCGCGTTTTGCAGTTAAAGGATTCATAATAAAACGATGAATGAAACCAGCTTTACTTCACAAAAATACCATTCAACAAAATAATTCTAACAAAAAAAACCTCACTGGCGTCCTGTCGCGGACGCCACTTGTAACGAAAAATATCATAAAATCAGAACTACGCCGAGACTACCCGTCAACGGTTTGTTCTGCACAGGTTCTTAATATACATATATAAACCTTAATAATAATTAGACACAGCGAGTCTCAACTATTAGAATATCTGTTTACAATTTCAATATTTATTGAAAAAGAAATAAATCTTATCTACTTGAATTCTGCACATGCTTCTTGGACGAATAAAGACTTTTTATTAATACTCGACATCAGCATTTTCATAGTTTTCTTTGAAGTAAAGCAGGAACTAGGATATTATTCAATAAACAGAACACAAAAATACAATATAATAATTCAATTCATATCAGCATTAAATTCATAGAACACTTCTATCACTAAGCAAACATGGATCAGAACGTGCGTGGCAACACCGAAAACTGATGCCATCCACAAAAAAAAGGATACATAAAACTCACGTCATTAAAACATTAATACATTCAAAGTCTTGTGTTCATTCAATAAAGTTATTCATAACACAGTCTTGTGGATATCTTCCGAAGTTTATTGACGGCATTACATAACAAGTATTATATTAGGCAAGGTTACTGTTCTCATTGCCTTAAAAATCATTTCAGCATATGGCAGTAGTGTAAGAGAATAATGCAGACTTCAGAAAATTGCAATGATTGTTTTATATTTTCTTGTCATTTGTGAGTATCTGAACATTTTTTAATTTCCCCGTATGTTATATAAATTTTGTATTTAATTTATAAAAAGAAGTAAAACATAACAAATAAAAGTAAAGAAGTAAAATGTAAATTATAAAGAAAGTTATTACAAAGTTCTCAAATGGTTGGCTACTTGGTAAGATTTTATGAAAATTACTTAGACCTAAGAAAGTATATAAACTATAAAACGAGTTCTTAATCCTATGTTTAAAGTAAAAAGGAAATACATGTAATATTTATAAAAAATCTGCTATTGTGAATAACATTTTCCTAAATTCATGATTGTATATTATAATTTTGTGTGGGTTTCAAGTTGCATTCTTGACTAAACTAAGTGTTGCAGTTTTCTGTCTTTTTTCCACACCATTTTAATAGTTCTGTTTCTTTCAAGCTATTGTTCCTAATTTTTTATATTGTTCAAGTTACATATTCCAGATTTGGTAGCTTTTAGTATTAATGTTTGGTCCTGAATTCTGAAAACCACATGTTACGGTCTAAAAACGTAATTAATAAATAAATTAATAAAGTAATAAATAAAAATTATGCCTTCTTGCCTTGTGTCAGGGTATTTATTCTGCATTTTTTATTTGTTTCTAAAGTTAGGAAATTAATTACTTCAACCATTGGTTTTTGTCAATTTTCAAATCTTACAAATGTGTCAGCTTCCTTCTTCTCTACAGTGAAGGTGTAAAATTTTTTAGCAATCATTTTTCAAATGCTGCCTTCAAATGTTATTGCTGTGTATTAATTTTAAAGAAAAATATAGCAAATATAAAAAATATGACAGCACAAATAAAAGGATGTTGCCACCAAATGTTATCTATCATTTTTAAAGAAACAATGTAGCGAATATAAAAACAAAGTATGGTAGCAAAGTAAGGATGCTGTGATTATGTGCTGTTACCATGTAGTTTTTTTAAAGAAATATTGTAACAAATATAAAAAAGTATGGCAACATTTAATGCTTTCAAAAATGATAAAGATATATGGTATAAAATATTTATTATAACTCCCACTAGGCATTTTGTTTCCAAGTGAAGCATATTTCAGTTTTCCTTTAGATTTAAACTACTTAATATTGCCTAATTAACAAACTAAGCAATTTAAAAGCTGTAAACACAGATCTTTATCTGTTTTATTAACCACCGGATAGGCCCGCGAAATGACATTAGCTATATTTATTAAAAGCATAATGGATGTATTCTTTCATATAATAACTAGTATTTGGGGTTCTAGAGTCATTAGTTTTTTGTTTGTTTGTTTGTTTGTTTGTTTTGTGGGAGACGTTAAAATTAGTAATGCCCTCGCCTGGACTCGAACTTGGACCTCCCGAATATGGGCTGAGTGTGTTGCCATTACATCACAAAGGCATGCTGGAAGAAGGGAGAAAATACCTTACATATTCCTCCGTTTAAATGGCAATTGGGGATTAGAGGGCCCCCAATTGCCAAATCCTGGTGGTGATGAATTATTGTCCACTACCTTTTAGTTCAGACGCCACTGTAGACTCATTAGGCTATTTTAAAATAGGAGATGTGAAAAATGAACATTGCCCTTGCCGGGACTCGAAGCTGACCTCTCAAATATGCACTAAACATGTTATTGTTACACCATGAAGGCATGCTGGAAAGAGAGAGAAAATATTTTACAGGGTGATTGGCTATGTCAGAATTTAGATGTTTGAAAAGTGTAACGGACAACAAAAGTAATTTGATGCGAAAGTGAGGCTCATGAGTAATAGCTCATTTCAGGTGAAAAGTTTATGCCAACACTTAACATTATATAAGGAATTCTAAAGATATATAGTTTTTAAAAATTTTTGGGATTTTGTTGCTGAATATTATCTGGTGTAAGTGTGAACAAAGTGATGTTGACAAAAAATGTTGTGTCAACAGGAATGAGTCCAAGAGCAGGCAAATAAAATGTGAGCTTAACGAGAGCATAAAAAGCCTTAACAAGCTCTCTAGTGTAACAGTAAAATCTTTCTTTTGGATTTTCTGTTTTTACCTCCTTTTTATTATGCAATCCTTGAATTCCTGTTAAGCTCAAAGACTGATTTGTCCTATATGCATAGACCATAAGTCTTGCATATAATTTATTTTGGAGACATAAAGATGCAAATGGTGAACATGTTTCAAACTGATAGTGCATAATCTTTAATCGGAGTTTACGCATTTAACTAATATGTCTATGATTCATTTTATTATAACATATTTTGTTGTTTGAAATGTTAGGCTGAGCATGCATGTAAGTAAGAACTCAATTTGAATTGATAACTTTTGCTGTGCACTGTATATCTTTGCATATTGCACTGCAAATAGCTGTGCATCACTTGGAAATTACAGCTGCAAAAACGAAAGACATTAAATTTGTTAAGATATAAATATTAGCATGTAAATCATGACTCCATCATATGTATTTAATTAACTTGGAGCATTTAAACGGAATGTTTATTCCTGTAAAAAAATTGTCTGCTACCTATGTAAAAATTACATTTCATCCTTTGATCTATGGAATATTTTTATTTTATCATTACCTTAATAAAGCACTTTTTTAAAGGATTTGGTAAAGGCTAAGCTATTTTTGTATCAAAAGCTACTTGAATTGAAAGCATTGCAGATGTAAGTTTAACAGTAGTTTAACACAATGTTGGAACTTGTATGGCATTTGGGAAAATGCAATCTTTTTACAAGTTTTCAATAAAGAGCATACAGACATATTTTTAATTCAGACATTTATCATTTTTTCCCTTCTTTATTCATGCCTTTTAGGGGAAGAATCTCGTGAAGAAATTAGGAAGGCTTCAACTGAAAATTCAAAAATTAATCATGTCAAGTAAGTATGTGTGATGATGTTTTTCAAACTATTCGCTTTTTTTTTTTTTTCCAACCAAAATTGAAAATCTGACTTATATGTTCGGCTATTTCATAAAAACTAGTATATAAAATAGTTTAATAATTGCATGATTCACATTAATATTGTTAGAAGTATTCAGGTAAAAATATTTACATATTGTTTCAATAACTGAAATATATGCAAATTAAATGGCCTACATAATGTGAGTTTAAAAAATATGGTATATAACATTTATTGGAAGTTAAGGCAGCAAGAATTAGCGTAATATTTGAAAATTTACGAATTTGCATAAACAAATGTTATCCTGATTTTTATTTCCTTAACACCTGTAATGAAGTCTATGTAATCTGTTCAAAATGTAACCTTTTTTTTTTTTTCCCCTCATTGTCAATGAATGGAAGAAACTGTTGCATTGTGCATCTCATTTACATGTTTCTGATTCAGTTCACTGAAGAACAGTAAGTAACCATGAAACTGAACTATCCAAGCTAAGGAATTTGCTCTTTCAACTAGAGAGATGTCATGAGTTTGGTCACAATTTATTTAGAATTTTAAAGGGTCAGAGTGACTTTTCCAGGGTCTTTCAATGTGTACACTAGGAAAGGATGACCATTATTTAGACTATCAACTAAAAGACAGAAGATGTAGAGTCTCAGGCAGTGTATTCACAGTAAACCACAATACTGTGAGAAATTTTTGATCAAGTAAATTAATTTGCCATTTGAAGATGTGTTCCTTTTGCAACTGTTGACATTATGTATCTAATTTTTTTTTTTTTTTTCTTTTCAACATACATTTACCACTACTTTGGGAGAGTAAAATGTAAAAAAAGGACTGCAGCATACTTTTCCATTGATGGAAGATTGCAAATAGCATACTAAATATTTAAAAACAAAAACTTTTTTTTTATGTTTTGAAAAAGAAAATTTTCACTAGCTGAAGAAATGCAAACTGTGTGTACATGTTCAGTTCAAAAACTGTTTGTTTCTTGCCTAGGTGGAAATGTAGCAATTCTTCTTTTTAGCTAAGACTGCTATAAAATATATAAGAAAAGTAGCAGTTTTCCCTTTTTTTCTTTTCCAAATTTAGAAAAACATTTTTTTAAAATTTTTTTAAAGCTCTTTACCTGCAAATGTTTATTTAAGGCAAATTTAAAAATATGTTTCAATGAAGGGCATCTGCTGTTTTATTTGGTTTAGTATATGTTTCCAACAAGTTCACTTAAAATTAATCATTTTCATAATAGAAATTTCCTGAGCTTAAAATATCTCTATAAATTTTGAATTTCTATTTCCTTTATTGAATAGTGGAAGTACATATATCCATAGAACACAAATCATGTATTCTGTTTCTCATTCTACACGACGATGATAAAAACATAGGTACTTACTTTTCATTTCATCCATGAATTTGTACCTTCTCTTCTGCGTTATCCTGTTCAGTAACTTAATTAATAATAAGTGAATCAAATGAAGAATTAGTTGTAACTGATTCATTATACCAATATGCTAGAATGAACTTTAAAAAGTTCATATCTGTAAAAATTATTGCTTTACTTGTCATTTTATTTACTTGAGATTCTCATATCATTTAAAATAAAGGTTAGAGATGTCGACCCCCCCCCCAAAAAAAAAAAAATTCTAAGTGGCATTGCTTTTCAAAGCTGCTCGATAAGCCACGCCACTCAGAGTTGTTTGCAGGGCTGTGGAGTCGGAGTCATGGAATCAGAGTCGGGCAGATTTTAGGGTAAAAGAAGTCAGAGCTGGAGTCTCTAAAAGCAGGCGAACTCCAACTCCAGTTTTTGTAGGACAGTTTGAATTTGAAATGAAATTAAAATGAATTGAAAAAGTTAATGACAAGCTGAGTTATTATTTTTATTTATGGACTGTATACATTAATAGATAAATATAAGGGAGGAGGATGGATGTGATATTTGCTATTAGTGATTAAACTTACTCATTTAGTTACTTCATTTAGTTACAAATCTCCTTGGTAAATTTAGGTAAACAGCAAGAGCTCCCAAAATTGATGCCATTCTTAGGAAGCGAGCAGGAAAAAGAGCAATTATTGATCAAGCAACATGATAAAGAAGTACATAGTTGGTGATAAAGAGGTTTTTAGAATTAAGAAATTTTATAGAAGATGTAGATAACCCTGATGTTTCAATAACAGAAATGATCTTGCAGAATTGGAAACTCTTTTTTTCTACACTGTATATAGCCACAAAAAAGCTGCAAACTGAAGAACTGACAGGAGGTGAGAATGGAAGAATGGGATCTTTGTTCTTTCTGAAGTGGAGGGTTTATTGCGGAAGGAATCATTTCTTCAATGAAGAAAAGAGAAACTAGTTCGCTAGACAATGAGATCTTGCTGAATTCAATATATGTAGATCTGAAACACCGAATTTTCTTGATGACGAACAAATTAAAAAGGCAAAGAAAGCCATCTATGAACTTTCATTAAGAATGAAATTATTCTCAGAACAAATGGAGAATTTGAATCAGGACAGTCAAACTGCAGACATTGCAATTGAGTCTCTAACATCCTCTTCCAGTGATGAATTAGATTTTGAGAAATATTTTTGGATAATATAGAAAAGGCTAAGGTAAAGCGAATGAAAATAAAGAACCAAGTGCCTTTAGATATAAAAATGAAAAAATACAAACAAGATTTCTACACGGCCTTTGAAGAAATAGAGAAAAATGATTGCGCTTGCAAGACACCTCTTTTAGAACTTATAAAAATCTATCCTGAAAAGTCAAAAGAAATAGCTCTAACAGTAACAGGTCTTCCTCCTACTCAAGTTAGTATGGAAAGACTTTTTTCATCTCTGAAGTTTATCAAATTGGATCTATGGCCCTCCAACAAAGAAGCTCTTGCCGAAGCTATACTGTTTCTTAGAAATAACTAATGCCAGTTTTTCCATTTCATAATAAATGCTAATTAATATAAATAATTTGCTATGCATTTTTTTCTGTAGCATCTATTACTTCTTTTATATTAAAAAATAAGCTGTAATCCATGTGTAATGTCTACATTATATATATATATATATGAGGGAGTCGAGTCAGAGTCTTTCATAAACTTCCATTCATTGAGATGATATTTACATGATTAAAGGCAATAAGATAAATACTTTAAATTATAATGTATACCAAGTGACAAAAGATTTCATGACCAGATAAAAGCCGTCATGCTACTTAGAAGGTTAATCCTTAGTGCTCCGTTGGCTGCAGTATAAAGATATTTTTCAGGAACTCCAGTGGCTTCGTAATGCTTAAGATGCTATGTTACTATTAAGGTTAAATAAATCAAGGTTAAATAAATCAAGGCCAAGGTTAAATAATGACCTTTTTTATGGTTAAAAACATGGAGGCAACCAATGTTATGATGAAAATTCAGAGCTGAATGATGGTGAAGATGTACTTGATATTCAAGTATTACCCTTCCAGCGTGCGCGCTTAGCAGTTTTACATGAGCATGTGCGCATTGTATTTTTTATGACATCTGTTATTTTACTGGTTTTGGCCCGAAAAATGACAGAAATGAGTGAATATTGATAATAAATTTGTTAAAACATAAAATATTAACCTTATTATTGAAAAATGCAGATGATGTCAAGTTCAAATGATAGTAAATTATTTTTAAATGCTTATATTAGTCAGGTGGAAAAGCAATGATGTATTTTATTATAGAAATTAAAAAATTTATTTTTTAATAATTATATTTTAAAACCGAAGCTAGTTTTAATATTCATCTGTCCTGTCGATTTATCATCGAATCGAAGACGACTTGTCAAAATTAAAAATCTCTTACAGCTCATCACAGCTCTTGTTATTTCAATTCCAATGCCATCACTTGAGAACAAGTCTTTTGCATTTACATGATGTCCTTTTTTTATTCCTGTCATATATAGCCATCCAAAGAAGGCCATCATTTCCATTCGAGTAACAGTGCAGTCTCTATCTCTTGAGTATTTTGCCTTTTAGTAAACTTATATATTTATTTGTTCATTCCAAAATTTCATCAAGCATATTTATATCAACTATTTTCAAAAATGTTCCCATTTCATCCTTTATATCCTTGCATGGTGTTTTAGGCCAGGTAACACTTTCACAATACTTCATCTTTTTTGTCTTTGAGCAGATTGCATACTTCTGTTTTTTGCCACTTGGAAGATTTATCCTTAGCTAATATAGATCATATCATCATCATCAATCCTTTTTTCTATATCATTATTATTAACATTCATCCAAAATTTATTGTTCAGATTCAGTGCTGATATTATTTATCTCTATATTTTTCTCACTCAGATTGCTATTATTCTCACATCCAAAGGTTTCATTGTCTTCTTTTTCTTCATCAGATAATTCTTGAAGAATGCGAGTAAAATCAGCTGGTTGCGCATAATCCTTTGCCACGAATATAAGAATTATAGAGTCGAATTTATACAAATTAAAATAATACACTTCAGTTACTAACACAAAATTACAAAATATTTGACAAAAAAATTTTCCGAATTTTTACTCGTGACCATGTGCACGCCATAACTTTTACAATGAAGCTGCCACGTAGTGCAAAAGCCCAGTAAAAAAAACAAAAGAAATTGTATGGCTTCCTGTTGGCACATTCCATGATGTGGGGAAGGGTTGAAAGGAGGAATAGAAATGACATTCAGATGTCTCAGCTGTGATATGCGAAAAGTGTGCATTAAAAATCGAATTTGTCATAAACTTTGTGCATAGCGTGCGTGCTGGAAGGTTAAAAGATAATTTAGAAGATAATATTGATAATGATTCTGATATTTCATGTAGTGGTAGCAAAATTATACCACCAAACAGACAAAGAATGGGAATACTGAAAGTCGAAGATTCTTTAGAAACTTAAATGAATGGCATGATGTTGCAGAAGAATTAGTTATTCCAAAAATAATATATATTAATATATCATCAAAAGTCACTGGACTGTAAGTTCCTTCAAATATTGTACAGCTGATACAATGTTTAAATTGTTTTTTAATGGATTAATTAGTAAATGAAATTATAAAAGTAGCCAACAATTATGCAGAAAATGTCCTAAACTTGAAAGAAGTATCTAGTAACTTCATTTGGCAAACATGGCATGATGTGGAAAAGGATGAATTTTAGGCTTTTAATCAGAGCTATCATCAGTATGGGTACAGTACCTCTTGGCAAATATGCAAGAATACTGCTTGATTAAGGAGATAAAAGGATCTCTTTCTTTAGCAACATGTTTCTGAGGAAAAGGATCAACTAGGTATTCTGGATGTTGCATTTGAGAACACGTGAATCTGCGATAAATGTAATAGGAGAAATGATACTGTTCAGTTGAGGAGAATAAGGGGATCTTTTTCTTTAGCAACATATTTACAAGGAAAAGATTCAACCAAGTATTCTGGATGCTGCATTTGAAAGCATCTGATCCAGTGAAAAATGATATTAGAACTCATATACAATGTGCAAGTAATTTTTGGAAGATATAAATTCAAAATTTTCAGAACATTTTGTACCTGAACAAAAAAAATGTGCATTAACAAGTCCATAAAAATTTAAGGGAAAAATATGTTTTTTTTACTTATAATCCCAATGAACCGACCAAATCAGATATTTGCTTATACATTTTGACAGATTCAGAAATGGGATATCTGTATAGCGTCCTTCCATATTATGGTAACATCACTTCTGGAAATCTGCCAAGGCCAGATTTTCTGATCTGCACCAGAATTACCCTACATCTGTGCCAGCAATTATTAAATCAAGTACTTACTGCAGAAGGATATCAAATGTACATTGACAGGTATTACAGTAGTATAACACTAGCTGAAGAATTTAAAAAATTAAATGCCACATGACCTGTACCATCAAAACAAACAGGAAAGATGTTCCAGTACCTCTGAAGAAAACTGAATTCAATGAAAAAAGGGCTGTCGAGTACAACACAGGGCATAAAATGGTCTTACCTTGGAGAGATGAAAGAATAGTGTCATTATTGAGCAGTTGCTATAATGCTGGAATGATAACCACTATAAGATTTATACGATGTGGTACAGAAGAAGCCAAGTATAGTTGTTGGATACACAATGTCAGTGGATAGTGCTGATTGGACTTATCAATGTGCCTGTAATTATTGCTTTTTGAGGAAATCACTGAGGTGGAAACTTTTTCTGGAGAATAATAAATTAAAAAAAATTGGAAGGCTTTCAGATTTTATATTATGCCCAAAGGGACTTATTTAACGTTTTGTGGGTAAATCTTGAATTTGTCACATGAGAGGTAGGCAAAAATGCACGCTGTTTAGCTAAAGTCATCCCACCTCACCCCTTAAAGATCTGATTTTGTCTTTCAATGACTTGTCAAATCCACATGTAAACATTTTTTGAAGAAACAAAAAAGAAAAAATTCTGAAAGCTTTCAAATTTTATATTATGCCCAAAGGGGCATTTCTTAACGTTTTGTGTGTTACCTTTACTTATTAAATATCATGTTCTTCGCACTAAACCCATAAAATTAAATTCAACAACAATATCACAAAATAATTTAAAAGAGCATATCTTTAGAATTTCTGATACGCAGCGTCGCACTCTGGAGATAAAAATGTTTTTTTTGTACAGTGTTGCTTTGAAATCGTTGAGTTTTTAATCAAAAATTCTTTAATGTTTGACAAAAGATGAAATAGATAATAAAACAAATTTGGGCTTTCAGATGCCTATATTCGGGTGGAGATGTTCATTGTTCAAAATTTGATGGCTCTAGGTAGCATTGTTTTATCACAGTGCGAGAAACATACATACATTTATGCAGATTCTTTGTTATTTAATTTCTTTAAATATAATACAGGGCAATCATATTTGGTGGGAAGCATTAAAGTGTTTTTCCATTTATAGTGAACCAACACAAAATGCCAAAACAAAATTAATAGTTCTTTTGGGCAAATTACCCCTTTGGGCTAATAATAAATTAGTCAATAATAAATTCATACATATTCTATAAAACTGTACAGTACAATAAAAATGAGAAAGCACTGCATTTATGATATCGTAAAATTTTTGTCGATTGGCTCATAGGAGATTTTTGTCAAGATAGAGCAAGAGTTTCTACATCAGCTCTAAGACAAGATATAATCAGGAAAGGTAGAAAGAGAGACTGCATTGTGTGGCTAATGAGTACTGTAGCACTTGCCCAAGTAAACCCAGAATGCACATGTGGGGTATTGTTTTTGAAGATATCACACAATGGTGAATTGCAAAATTTATATTTTGTTTGCAAAAGAGAAATACTTATTTATAAAATAAATAAAACCAAAGATAACATGTAATTCCTTCCACACAAAATAAGACTTCTTCTTCTTGTACTCTCGCTGCAAAAATATGCCAATGTAAATAAAATAAGTACAAAAATGCTAAGGGTTAAATATGCTAGGGTCAGCTTCAGTAGATCTAGTCAAATGAGTCTTTAAGAACTTTTAACTGAGACATCATTCTTCAGTCTTTTCAAATGGCAAACATTTTGACAAATTGGTGTTTTAACTTCCTTTATTCTTATGTGTAAATCCTGAAAATCTAAATTGGGAATCCTTCTCTGTTCAAAGGTTATTCAATCTTTTCTCTGTTGAGAGCTTATGGAACACCCAGAGAGCAAAATATGTGCCTAATAATAGGGATTTATCTGAAGCTAAAAATTTGCTGTGATACAGTTCATGAACCATGTCTGTTATAACAAGAGAGTGCTGACATATGCATAGAAAATGTTAAATAATTTCAGTGATAAAACAAATTCTCATTTCAATCCAAATAGATTATAAATATAGTGTATTTTTATTCAAAAATTTATTTTTAGGTACTTATAAAAAATTGTCTTAAAGTTTATCATGCTGAATTTTCTGAAAATTATATTTGTTTGGATTCAAAATTAAATACGGATTACAGACATTTGCAGATTAAGGCATCTCAGATTATCAGAAGTCAAGTGTATTTTTAGCATGAAAGGAAGTAGTAAAATAATGAGTAAGATACACTGAAATCTTTTTATTCTGTAATTTTTCTGTGTATTATTACTATTATTAATGATGCTGTTCTTGAATGAGGATTCTTTTTGAAATGTTGTTAAAGTGGGTCTGAAATGCATCTAGATTTATGGATCTGAGTTGAAATATCATATTCAGGGATCCAGATGGATATCTAGGATAATTGATGACAACATTATGTCAGACAATGGCCTGAAGCTCTGGCAACATTTAATAGAGTTGATGTCTCAGCATAAAGAGATTGACTTGTGATTACCAAAATGTTCTGATGTTTCACTCATTTAATTTTTATTTTTAATGTGCTGCATGATTCTTTAATTCTTGAAATATCAAATTCATCCCCATCATTCTGTTTAATTGTAAAGTTTGTCAATTTTTTTTTCTATATTTATCTCTCATATGTTGCTTTATACACATTAATCCATCCAACTCTGGCTGCTTTTCTGTTTTCCATCATTTTATGACACATTTTTGGCTATGCTTATTTATATTTTTCGTTTGCTCACAACATCGGTGCCACATTAAGAGATTATATTCTCTGGATTTACTAGATTTTATTTAATTCTCATCCAATAAATGCATTGTAATTTAATGATTAATGCGATGTGATAAAAATTCTTATTAACTCTCCTAAGGAAAAAAAAAAAAAAAAATACCACAGAAATAGAAGAATAGAAAGTATCACAATGCATTATCATGACACAGGAAATTAAAATAATTTTTCACAAAATTTACTTTATGCAATGATCTAAGTGAAAGAATACATTTTGTTATAGTTTTTATTTTAATGTAATGGAAGATATAAATGTTTATATGGTAGAGAAACATGATAAATTGTTAAGATGAAATTATTTGGATGAAAAACATATGCTTATTGGTGTAGAATTTAATAAATTTCTGTTGCATCAAAATCATATGTTGATTTTTTATTTTTTTTAAAATCACATCTCCTGAGAACTCATTGTCATACTTTTTTATTGGGTCATGCTGCTATTTACTAGGCATCAAGATAGTAAGTTTTTAATTTTTATTCCTAAATGTTTCTAGGATTTCTTTTATCGGAACGTTCATTATTCTAAATGTTAACCTCTTTATTCTAAATGTTAACCTCTAATAACATTTTTAATGTATTATATTAAGGAATATTAGGAATTTTCATTTTGCACAGTATTCTTTTTCAAGAGATTTTATTAAAATTTTTGTGATTTACAGACACCCTAGGAGGCATTCTGTGAAAAGAAAGCATCATGGTTTTAACATCGATGCAAAATGTTACAACACTGTCTTAGAACCAGAAGAAGCAGAAACTCTCCATTCTGCTGATATTGATTGCATGGCTAGTAAGGAAATTTATTCATAAATCTTAACTTTAATAAATTTATTGAAATTGTTTGAAAATTATTACTCCACTTCTTTTGCTTATTTACAGTGTTTGTTAATATTCATGAGAAAGAAATAGAAGATTGAAATTATTATTAAATTACTTTACATATACATGTGTTTTAACTATAATCCATGTGTATGTGTGCAGCTGATATTTATGGTACTTAAGCATTTGATAAAAGAAAACGAACTCATTTTAGTCTTCACAAAATAAAAACACTCCTAATTTGGCATGATTGGGTTGCCCAAACTGGGATCAGATGACACTGGAAGGGGTTAATCATATGTTTTATATATATTAACTGATTGAAACATTGCCTTCAAAATGTTAGACTGTAAGCTGAAGTTTTCAGTTCATATTTCTTTTTTACTGGTTGTTTTTATATAAATATATACCCACCCCTTTCTATTTTGTATTATACAGTTTCTATTAGTAAATGTAATTTTTTTTTGGGGGGGGGGGTTTGATAGCTCACAAAGGTATTTGAATTGTGTTTTTTAAAGAAAAGATATGTTAGCATCTAAGTGAAAAACAAAGTATTTATTATTTCAATTTATTATCTAGGTCATCGATTTGAAGATCCAAAAGGAATTCGACGCCACAAAATTCAAGATAAAAATTCTGTGGCATCATTTTTTAAAACAAAGAAAGATGATTTAGTTTCACCATACAAAAAAGAGTATGACCATGAACCTCATGAGGTTCGTATCTTTTCTGCTGTCTTATTTTAATTGTATCTTATGAAATTTTGTAGTGAAATATGCATGAAAATAATCTAAAATATTTTTAATACTTTTCACATTGTTGCATTTTAGAAACGATTAGCTACTAATATTTTATGCAACATTTCTCTACAGCTTTTTGTAGAGCTTCAAGAATTGCAAGAGCATGAGTACAGTGATGATTTAGAATGGAGACAAACTGCTAGATGGATTAAATATGAAGAAGATGTTGAATTAGGCTCTGACCGATGGGGCAAGCCTCATGTTCCTCCTTTGGTCTTTCGTAGTTTGTTGAATCTTCGCAAATATTTAGAGGCTGGTAAGTGAAATTCGAAATTAATGCATATTGTTTCTCCTAAAAGGTAAAATCAGTCTTTATAATAGATTGGTTGTTCTAATGATAAACACTATTGTGTTGATGTGTTTAGTACAGAATAACTTGCCAAAGTATTATGCTACAGTTTTCAGCATGTGATTGCTGAGTCTGAAATACATGAAAGTATCATTGTATTGATATTAAAAATTAAAGATCTTATATGATAAATCTAAATGTGAGCATTCTGTTATAATAAATATTATTTTTGAAATCCAGAAAGATTGTCATAAAATGGCATTAAATAAAGTTATACAATTTTTTCCCGAGTTATGCAGATTAGCAGATAGAATTTTTTTTAGAATTTTTTTCAAGAAAGTAGATTAAACAAATTTTCATCTCAAATTTTGTTTATTAATAGATCACTTTTCCAGGGGTATACAATAGAAATTCTGTTGAAATTAAATATGAGAGGCTGTTAACTTTCATTAATCCTAAACGTAAGCTGCATCATTATAAATGTTCTCTAGATATATAAAAAAAAATTATGTGGAAGAATTATTCCTGCTGTTCACTTCAAATAAAAAAAATATGTATTTGATTCAAATATTTACTTTTGATATATAAAAAAATACTCGAGTGCAACATAAATTCTGCTAGCAATTTTGGCAACTCTATCCATGAAGTTTTAAAGAACTCAGCTCAAATAAGCACTTTAGCATTATTACAGTGAAATTCAATTAATAAATACAGTCAAAAGTCGTTAATCCGGACACCCATAATCCGGACCTCAAAGCTACAAACTTTCTGCGCATGCGTTCATGCGCATAGGCGTTTACGCATGCGCGTAATACTTTTATGCATGCACATATGCGTGTGCACATGCACATAATACGTTTATGCATGCACGTTTAATGTATAATGGACGGTATAAGCTAAGCTAAAATTATCTAATTATCTATTTCAGTTAATGTTACAGATTGCGTTGTTCCTTAACCTTCGAATTGGATCAGGCTTATTATATTTTGCAGACTGTTAGAGCAATTTTATAAAAGTAAGCTTGAACTTTCGATTAAGTCAAATAGAATTTCCGATGCTGGAGCTGCCAAAGGATCTATAAAGCGAAAGTATGTTTCGATGTCCATCAAACAAAAAGTGGAATTGCTGCAAAGAGTGGATAAAGGCATATCCTTTGTTTCTCTAACCATTCCGAAATCTGTTTATCAATTTCAGGCTGCTCTGCGGTGAGGGGGGGCACGTCGTGGCGCGCAATGAATTGGAATTTGATCTGTCAGCACTATCTTTATGTTCAGGGCAGATGTTTTTATTTTATTTAGCTTATAATTCCTTATTAAATGTAGTATTTCATCTGTCTTTGATATGATTTAAATCAAATTCGTCTTCATTATAATTCGCTTCCAATAGTGAAGAAAGTGACACAGAGGTTATTGAAAACGAAAAAATTTCGATTGACAAATTAGTCGGTATTCTCGACACAGCAATTATAGCACTTGAACGGCGGAACTTTGTAACTGAAAAGAAATTATGTCTGTTTATAGAATTAAAGAGAAAGTATTATCACATAAAACGAAGCAACTTAAACAACTTACATTGAAAGAAATGTTTAATAAAGTAAACAAATAAATAATAAGCTCTTTTTTTGTAAATTTTGATACCCTTTAGCTCATAATTGTTTTTATTTCATAAATTACGGTTTCATATTTTTAATTTTATAATTTCTGCATGCCATCTTACCAGATTTAAACTGATGATCTATAATCCAGAAAAATCGATAACCCGGAATAGCTGAAGCCCCGATGAGTCCAGATTAAAGGCTTTTGACTGTATTCTAAACTACTGAAGAATTTATTCCTAAAGCAGAAATTTCAATGTCCTGGAAGGGAGGAATATTCAACTTCAGATTAGTAGATTCAATCTGTAACAAAAAAGGTCATGCCAAATAATACACTGGAAACTATTTGAAATTACATGAGCCAAAATACTAAAAAACAAAAGTTAAATTTAGGTATTATAAAAATTTAGTGAGATGAACAGAAAGTTTCCTTGTTTATTAAATATAATTTTTATGTAATGTAGATGTGCAATGTGTACATATTGTTATGTTTTTCTTTTCTCTGACACCAGTTGTTACGTTATTTTCTTCCTTCACATTCATACAGAGTTTGTGTGGATTTGGAGTGAATAACGATGACAGCACTTGATAGAATATCGAAACATACTTTATTTAACAATATTAATCAGGACAGCTCCAAAACACTTTTGCAGTCGAAGATCTGCTATAAACACGCTGGAACAATCAGCGACACAGCCTTCAGATTATCAGGCTATCACGGTGGAGACAGCTTTACTGGAAAGCACCAGAGTACAGTTCCTGACTGAGCTCGGTCGTTCTCGGAACTCCATGTACTCTCGAGATTCTCCACGCTACAACTCATGATGCACTCGATGACACACAGAGCACAGCTCCCGACACTTCGGTTCAGTCATTACTGGAGCTCAACACGCTCTCTCAATGATGCACTAAGAGACTCCTTTGGTGCACTTGGCGACCCACTCGGCACTCGCTGCCCGGTGGTCAACTCGATTGTCTTAACACATACTAACTAGATGAGACCGACTAGCTCGCACTCTACGAGGCACTTGCTCAATGACTGACTATCAGCTTGATAAACGAGGCACTCACTAACTGACTGCGCACCAGCAGGGTTTATATATCTTTCGGCTTGTGTTCGAGAACATTCTGGATTAAACCGGTAAGAATTTGTTCCAGAAGGTTCTCCATCCATCCATGGCATATCACCGATTTTGTCGCCAAATGGGTGATTTTTTGCCAAATGTGGCAACCCTGCCTTCCCTTGCCATTTTATGGCAACACTAAAACTGCACTGCTGGAGAAGCTATCTCACCATGTCTGTACATTTCGTAACAATGTGAATATGTATGTGTGTATTCTTGTAAATTCTGGCAAATATTTTAAAACATTTGACCCGCTTGCTATTTTTATATATTTATTTGTTTAATTTATCCATTTAAGGTGACAGTTTTAGGTTTATTCTGAATGCAATTGAATTTGTGGCCACATGTTTTGTATATAAGTTTTATCTGTTGTATGGAATTGTAAAACTTTCTGTGTTTTTAGTTCTGAAGCTAAGAACATTTAAATTGTTAAAATAGCTTAACTAGAACACGAGATATGAGCAAAATCATTCCTGATAGTGACATTTGGCAAGTTAGCTAACATAGCTAATTTCTGGAAATTTTAAGAAAATGCATTTTTGAAAATCGGGACAAACTTTAGAAGCAGTTTGTCCCGAAGATTCCAAAGATTGAGTAAAGGAAAGCTGCCTTTTTTTTTTTTTTTTTTTAAGCAGCCCTCTTTTAATAGATCAAATCTTTGTACTTATCCCATATTTTGGCTAATAATTCACATTTGGGCTTAGTTTTGTTCAAGGATTTTTATATCAACATACTGTTGTCATTGCGATCAAAGTGATACTAATTAAGATTTTGTGTATCATAATAATCAATAATCAATTATTTATATTAAACTGGCTTCCATGTGCTAAAGAAGGACTTTGCGAATAGAGGACCCCTGATTGTGAAACTGGAGAAGTGTCTAGCATTTGCTTAATTGAACATAATTTGAAATCTGCTTTCAAATATGTAGCAATAAATGAAGATTAAGCTAATGAGGTTTTGATGCAGTCTGATCTCTGAAATTTAATTAAATAATATTAATTCTTAACTTCTTGAAAGTTTGTCTCAGCAGAAAGTATATGATCCCCATTGACAGAAATGATTCATTTCTCTCCATTAAAGCAGGGAAAGTGATTGACAGTGGCTGCTAAAAGACCATCTGTGCCCTTGATAGGTTCGGCAGTCCATAGTTGAATTAGTAGGACAGTGGATGTTATTGGATTGCTTCAAACTTTCTGAGATTTCACTTTAATTGCTACAACAGCAGTAGGATGTTCAGCTACAGGATTGGCGAGGTGCAGGATTAAAAAAATTTCCTGATCGGACATTTAAGATAGAAGATTTTATAAACTTTTGGTTAATTTTCCATGGGGGCATAAATATGATTAAAGAGTGAAATAATATTTGTTATTGTTGTTGTTGTCGTTGTTGCTTTTCCTGTCTTGTAAAATTTTAAGGCTTTGATATTGACTTGTGTTTAAGGCTTTGATATTGAAATGTGTTTGAATATTTGCCCCATATCAGTCCCAAAACATCTGACTGAAAATTTAGGAATAGCACAGTGCTTTTCTACATTTCTTCCTTCATTATATTGATTCTTTGGACAAAAAATGATCGATAACCACCATAACCTGCATGTACTAGGGTGTGTGGGGGGAGCAGACGGCCGGGGAGATACCTTTAATTGTACTTTGTGAATTAACTTATATAACTTGGTAAGAACCCCAACTCAAGATAAGACATATTTCCGAGAAAACTCTTTTATTTTTTCTATCTCGCAATAACTGTACTGTAAGTTTCATATCTATGTACTTATTGTATACGATTTTATTTTATTTCTTTTCTACTTTAATTATTTTAATAGCTGTAGTAATAAAATAATTAAAGTAGATAATAAAGAATTAATATTTTTAATTACTATTTTTATTTTTAGTGGGTGTTTAGACTTTGAGTAACACTCAACTTCCTTCAATGGTGTTTTAATTTCTGTTACTGCTAGTTATTTCTGCTTTGTAGTGTATTTTTTCTCTCAGAATTTTAATTTAGCATTTAACATTAGGGTAATTACCTGTATTTATGTTTTATTGTGACAAGTTCTAAAATATTTCCCAAGAGCCATTCATATCTGCAATAGTTGTCCATACATTCCCTGATAATTCCAAACTAATATGAACCAGCAACCTGTATTAACAGGGTAGTTGAAATTTTTTATGCTGTGATATTATTTTGGACCTTGTCAGTAGCAGTGGGACATGCCAGCTCAGTTCTTTTGAGACAGAGGAATTCAACAATTTTCTTACTAAGGTTTGTAATCTTCTTATGGAGCAGGAATCTAGCCATGTGCAAAGTCATTGAATAACTTTTAAACAAACTGATATAATTAGTAACTTTTAACTCACTCAATAACTCAGATAATAACTTGTAAACATACTTGCATATCTATCAACAAGTTCAGTTAGTAACTTTTAAACGTTCTAGTATTTCTGTTTCCATGTCCACTGTTGCTTTGATTTCACGACCTATAGAAGAACTATACTGTACAAAGTTAATTTTAAGAAAAAAATGGAAATGGAAATTCATCTATTGTTCCTTTTCTAGAGTGCTCAGCCAATGTGCTGTTGGTTTACACTACAGGTACAGAAAGAATACTTGTCTGTTGAAGAAGTCTGTCTCACTCGTTTGAAAGAGCTTCCAATACATTGTGGAGAAAAAACCCATATTTAACTGCTACAAAAATAAAATGAAAGCAGATTAAGGAAGATCAAGGAACCATGCCCTAACTCGATGGCAGTTGTAGTCTGTAGATACCTGATACTTGATATTATACAGTACAAAGTCTTTAATCCAGACGTCCATAATCTGGAATGATCTATAATCCGGACCTCAAAGCTACAAACTTTCTGCGCATATGCGTTTAATGTATAACGAAAGGTATAAGCTAGGCTAAAATTATCTAATTATCTATTTCAGTTAATGTTGCAGATTGCATTGTTCCTTAATCTTCTAATTGGATCCGGCTTATTATTTTTTGCAGACTGTTAGAGCAATGTTATAAAAAGTAAGCTTGAACTTTCGATTATGTCAAAACGAGTTTCCAATTCTGGAGCTTCCAAAGGATCTACAAAGCGAAAGCATTTTTTAGATGTCTATCAAACAAAAAGTGGAATTGCTGCAGAAATTGGATAAAGGCATGAAGAAAGTGACCAAGAGGTTAGTGAAAATGAAAAAATTTCGATTGACAAGTTAGTCGGTATTCTCGGCACAACAATTACAGAACTTGAACAGCAGAACTTTGTAACTGAACAAGAAATTATGTTTGTTTATAGAATTAAAGAGAAAGTATTAGCACATAAAACGAAGCAACTTAAACAACTTACATTGAAAGAAATGTTTAATAAAGTAAACAAGTAAATATTAACCTTTTTGTTTTTTTTTTTTTTTTTTTTTGTTTTTTTTTTTGTTTTGTAAATTTTGATACCCTTTAGATCATAATTATTTCATAAATTACGGTTTCATATTTTTAATTTTATAATTTCTGCATGCCATCTTACCAGATTTAAATTGATGAAACCCCTAATCCGGAAATCGCCGAAGTCCCAACGAGTGTGGATTAAAGACTTTGCACTGTATTATAGGATATAATTTTAATGCTGTAAGTAAGCACAAGGTCACCCTTGCAGCAAATGCATGATATCTAGCATTGCTACAATTAATTTGTTAATATTTGATAGAAATGGCCTACCCATACCTTTGAAACTCCAAGAGCATGAAGATGACCAGGTGTCACTCTCACAGCAGCCTACAATTCTTTTAGAGAGAATTTTAAAACTCATCTTTAAATGGCAGGAATGTTGGAATCCAAGTTTCTTGTATTTCATTATTTAGGTGCTGTATTAGTTGATGTAGAAGAAAAAGACATGGTTGGCATAGCTAAGCGAATTGCAGATTGCATGGTGCAAACAGACCAAATAAAGCCTGAGCAGAAGGATGTTGTACTAAGGACACTAATGATGAGACACAGACATGTAAATGAAAAAGCAGTACCTTACTTGCGGCGAAATAGTTCTGGTTATGGAAATCTAAATTTGCTTGGTCATGATAAGAGCAGGTATAATAATAGTTTTCTGTTATTTTTTAGTCTTCTTTTAACAATTTTTTGCTAAGTTTATTTAATAAATAATTAATAGTTCAACATTCTTCTTTGTCTGAATAGGTCCCCATCATTTTTAAAATCTATAAGAAGTAAGCAAGAAAGTGTAACAAATGCTTTAAATAACCAAGATAGGACTCCATTAGAAACAACAATACTTATGCCCAACAGTAACAATATTGTAAGTATTATTATTCACCTTATATTGCACATATTATAGTGCTGTGCTGAGCAGAATCTGGGCAATATGTGTTACTTATCAAATATTTAACATTTAAATCTATTATAATTTTCTTTAAAATTAGTTTAAACCTAAAACTCAAAATATTTTACTCTTTCTTATTTGGTTAGTCCTCGTGTAAAAAAGGTATCCCTTGGATTGGTACCTCAGTGTTATGGCAAACTTTTTTGTTGTTGTTGTTGTTATGTGACTAATATATCTGATTGTAACAAAAGTTTTCTTCCAAAATACGTTCTTAAAAAAGTTAGGGGAGAAAACATGAAAGCAGTACCTTTAGTGCGGGTAGTAATCACCACCCATATCTATGATTTTCTGCGAATGTTTTGGTAGTTTTTCAAAGTCTTTGACCCAGAAACTTGGTGGCCACGCGTCTAAAAACAGATCAACTTCATTTCGGATGTCCCGTGCAAAATGGAAGATAGTACCAGCAAGATATACAGATGGAGGACAAAATAATACAAACACCTGTGAAATAATGGAAAATCTTTATTAACAGGACGTTGGACCACCCTTTGACTGAGGTACAGATTGAATGCGACGTGAGATAGATATATAAAGGTCATGGACAATATTTGAAGGAATATTAAGCCATTCCTCCTGCAGAGCGGTCTCTAATTCGGAAAGTCAGATGGAGGTGGAAATCGGGAACGAAGTTTGGACTCCAAGTATGGCCATAAATGTTCAATAATATTCAAGTCCGGAGACTGAGGTTGCCAAGCAAGATGTTCAATTGCATCGACATGCTCTTTGAACCATTCTTGAATACACCTAGCCAGTGTGGATGAGGGCGTTGGGCGTTGTCATTTTGAAATAACGGTCACTCCCCAGGGAATACAGTCTGGACAAAAGTATGGACATGATCCTCTAGAATGCTTAGATAGTGGTTGGATGTGATCCTCCCATGCAGAATAACAAGTGGCCAAAGATATCGCACCCCATACCATAATGGCGCCCCCCCCCCATGCTTCACAGTCAGTAAGAGGCAGTCAGGATGGAATGCTTCTTTGGGTGTTTGTTCTCCAGACATAAACGTGTCCGTTCGTCTGAAATAGGGTGAATGACAATTCCTGACCATATTACCTGTTGTCACTAATGTGGGGACGAGCCTTTGTGATCTCCGCACCATTGGCATTGCTTGAAAGCATTAGTTGCTGTCACCAAGGGTTTACAAATTGCCACTCTGCCATAAATTGACAGTTTTTGTTGAAATGGGGTCCTGGAGATGACTGGGGGTCTTGGAGATGACTTTTCATTTCGGATATTATCTCGGATGATAATTGCTTGTGCTTTCGGGCTATTATGCGCTTCAAGACCCATTTAACCCTATCATCCAGCTTTGACTTTTGACCACTGCTGTGCTTTGAAGATGTCGTCTTACCCTCTTTCGTGTACTCTGTCATAACGGCTGATACCTTACTCCTTGCACACCCCACAAGGTTTGTTTTTTCCGTAATTGATGCTCCACTTAAGCGCATTCCAACTATCTTTCCCCTTTGGAACTCTGACAGGTCTGACATTTCAACTTCTCACAGACAGATCGATCGAAACATGCACCGCAGGTGACTGCTGTTGAGAGACTGATACCTTCCTCTTTACGCTCACCAGGTGGCAGACTTCTGTTGCAGGTGGCGTGGCTGTACTACAGGTGGGAAATGTGACATATTTTTTCACAGGTGTTCGCATTATTTTGTCCTCCATCTGTAGCTGCAGGTGTAAAAAAAAAGGTAGAAGTCCGAAGGAGTGATGTGGTGAGTGTGGTGAAAGATCACATTCGAGTTCATACAGAGTCCAGCCAGTGAATACAGACACATATGATCTTTCATTATCTTGATGGAAGATTACCTTTTTGCGCCGGAACTCAGTTCGACACTTTTCCTTGATAGCAGTATCAGCATAGACTAGCTCCTTGCTGTACACCTTACTGTCAAGGATTTTACCCTTTTCCAGATACTCTTTGTGGATAATATCATGGATATCCCACCAGATACAAAGCATGATCTTTTTGTTAGTCAAATTGTGCTTTGTGACACTGTCGACAGACTCACCAGGCACAGACAAACCCTCTTTTCTGCCTGTGTTGTTGAAGTAAACTTGCTTATCATTATGAGCGATGATCCAGTCCAGAATTTTTACCTTGCATTGATATTCGAGCAGATTAGGGCAGGCCCGAACATGTCTGTCCTTATCTACTTGAGTCAGCTCATGCGGCCCCAAGTGACTGAACTTCTATGTCAAGTTTTTGTGATGTATAGCACAACTAATGGATATGGCACTAAAATGTAAGTCTTTAGCATCAACATCAGCAGGACAGCCAGAGCACTCTGCTTTATGAATGTCACAGTCCTTGTTTTTGAACTTATCGGTGCCAAACCTTCCCAGTGTCATATGATACAACTTTAGCACCTAAAGCTGTACACATGATTTGGTGACATTCTGTAGTTAGCTTTTTGTAACAGAACTGGAAGTTAATGATCGTTCTAATCTGGTAGTGTGATAATTCCATTTCAGACATCTAATGATACTTTTTTTACAAATTTCACAATAAAGTGTTCTAAAGTAAGTTTCTTTCTTTTAAATGCCAAAAACTTTTGGCAAAATATGATTCAAGATACGAGCATGAACTGTTTGGGCAGACGGTATTTGCAGTGTCAGGAAACTTTCATGAAAACTCAATATTTTTCAAGTTTAATCTTATTGGATCTTCTTAGTTTAGCAGTGGTTTATGTGACTATTTTGAATTATTTGAAATTTAACAACTGTTAATTAACAACCATTGGGTTTTGTTAGCTGACTATGGCTTGCTCTGAAATGAGAATTATCTCATCACTTCCACAAGAAGTGTCTAGTGAGATGATGTCGTGTCTATGACAAAGTGCAATTATATAGCTTCAAAGCTGTCAAAGACAGCTTTTACAACCTCGGCAGCTCTATCAGTATAAAGTAGGTCCACTGGGTCTTCAATGCCGATGTTAAACAGTCTGACCTGGATTGCTGGGCAGCTGAAGATGTGATGGCGAGACAGTGGGATGTCATCTGGGCAATGAGGACAAATGTTGGTGTAACTATGCCTCTGTCCGCCTGCAGAAATCCTCATCCCTTTTAAGTGATTTGTCCTAAGTCTGGTTATGATAGTCTATATGGCTCTGTCACAGTTCAATTCCGGGATGGAGTTTCCTTTAACTTGACCGATTAGTCTTTGGCTGGCAACTGCATTGGCATCAACGAGGGTTAGGCAGTTGGATGGCTGAGGAGAATCACAGGATGCCTTTGCAAGCTCATCGGCCTTCTCATTACCAAAAATGTTTACATGAGTCGGTATCCATTGTAAGATGCAGGATCTTTGGGCAGCAATGATTTTGTTTGTGAGCTCAATGATCTGATGACTAAGTTGACATTTGCCCTTCTGGATCGCTTGCAATGCTGATCTGATGACTGAGTTGACATTTGCCCTTCTGGATCGCTTGCAATGCTGATCTGCAGTCAGAGATGATGATGATACCCTTGGAACTCTGGTCTTCTTTAGAGAGATGGATCTCCAGAGCACTTTTGATGGCGATGAGCTCACATGTATAGTTGGAGGCGATTTTCCCAACAGGAATAGTGTGGCATTTCTGCACTCCGTCTGGTTCAATGAAAAAGACTCCTGCTCCTCCTCTGTTCAGATTGGAGTCGGAAGAGCCGTCTGTGTAGGCGATCGTCAGATCTTGAGTTAAGATCATGAGTTCCTCAATGGTATGGTCACGCTTTTCTTTTATTATTGCAGTGGGATCTTTCTTGGTACAAGGCTGTAAGAAATTTAAATAAATTTTTGTATGGGGGAGAGGGCACAGAATGTTGTAAGGCTCTTTGGAAATTTTGAGAATCTCGTATTTGAGGTTGATGTCATTTCTGATATCTTGGTCATGTTGGAGGATCTCTTAAGCCTGCAATTGTCACTCTATGCCCTGATGGTTCTACTTGAGATATGATGTTCAGCAAGAGTTTATATTTTATTGGTAAATTTAATTGTTGTTAATTTTCTTCTGCTCTTTAAGGCGGCGAGGCCACATTCCTTTTCAATTTTGATGTTATTCGTTGATAAAACAGCTCTGATGATTTTAGAGGCCATATGTTGAACAGCGTTGATCTTTCCTTTAGCAGTAGGCCTTGCCGATGCCCATATGGGTGCTGCGTATTCGAGAACAGGCCTGACTATGGAAGTGTAAGTATTCTTGAGGGTTTTTGGTCTTGATCCCCAAGAAGCACCACAAAGTCTTTTAAGATGTTTAGCTTTTTCATTGCCTTTATTGAAACATGATCAAGGTGTTTAGAGAATCTCAACTATGCATCTAGAATCAGTCCCAGATACTTGGGGTTAGAAATTTGTTTAATTTCAGAACCTAATAGCTTTATAATAGGACGAAACGAGCTTCTATTTTTTCTATCTGTTGAGAAGGCACAAAAGTTTGTTTTATGTGGATTAATTTTAAGATCTTTTGACCAGATTTCAATGCCTTTCATACAGGTATTTAGAGCCTTTTGTGAGACTTTTGTGAGATTTGAGTGGGTGTGCCAGACTGCAACATCATTGGCATGACAGGCAACTTTGATTTCTTTACTGATGTGGGGGTCAATCGTATTCATGTATAGAAGAAAAAGAAGAGGGCTAAGTACGGAGCCCTGAGGAACTCCCACCCGGGTATGGTGAGTGGTGGAGAAACTGCCATTAACCCTGACTTTAAAGCTTCTTTTCCTTAGAAAATCATTAATCCAGATTAGAGCATTAGATGTAATGCCTGTATCGTGTAAAAGGTTGATCAGTTTCTGCCTCCAGACTCTGTCGAAAGCAGCAGAAAGATCAAGAAGAACCATGGTGGTTTTCTTATGGGGTTTGTTTTGAAAGCCGTCAATAATCGATTGGCAAAGGTAGAAAAGGTGATTGACGGTGCTGTGATTGCCTC